CGGCCATACCACCCTGTCTGCGCCAGATCTTGTCTGATCTCGGAAGCTAAGCAGAGTCGGGCCTGGTTAGTACTTGGATGGGAGACCGCCTGGGAATACCAGGTGCTGTAAGCTTTAGCGTTTTCTTCACTACTTATCTAATACACTGGCCTATAGAGTGGCTGATCTTTAAATAGCTCACTCATTAAATAGCTCATAGAAACATTGCCAAGTTACGAAATATGTTACCTGTTTCTGATGCAGAAAAGCTAGTTCATGCATTCATGACCTCTAGACTGGACTATTGTAATGCACTGCTAGGTGGTTGTCCTGCATCTTCAATAAACAAGCTATAGGTAGTCCAAAATGCAGCGGCTAGAGTTCTTACCAGGTCAAGAAAATATGATCATGTTACCCCAATTTTACAGTCTCTGCACTGGCTACCTGTTAAGTTCTGTATCAGTTACAAAATATTATTACTTGCATATAAGTCCCTTAAGGGGTTAGCTCATGCGTGCCTAACTAGTCTTCTATCACGCTACAATCCATCACGCTCCCTATGGTCGCAAAACTCTGGACTTTTGGTAGTTCCTAGGATAGCAAAGTCCACTAAAGGAGGTAGAGCTTTTTCGCATTTGGCTCCCAAACTCTGGAATAGCCTTCCTGATAACGTTCGGGGTTCAGACACACTCTCTCTGTTTAAATCTAGATTAAAGACACATCTCTTTGGCCAAGCATTCAAATAATGCATCTCATAATCTTGTACTGCAGTTATATCTGATCAAATGCACATTACTATTCAAAACAAATCAAATTTGCTTGGTTGGAACAGCAGATACGCTAATTATGTCTCTATTTGTTTCTCTGTTTCTGCCACGGGATTGACATCCATTTCACATCCCATTGACTACCAAATTTTGCTATAAGTTTGATTGCAAAATATAATAATTGCTGTTAATAGTGTTCATAGTCTGTTTGATTATGTATTTAATTGATTGTTCTGTACATTTCTGCTACATGTACATTTACTGACATAGTCACCACTGATAAGCTACTACTAAATATATTGTAGAAACATATATTGTACAGCTGCCTTGCAAAGATTTGTATAGTGAAAAGCGCTATACAAATAAACTTGAATTGAATTGAATTGAATTACTGTACTACCACATAGACCAGCTTTCAATGATCTGTCCATCACGGACTGCCTGACCTCACCAATTCCTGTGGATTTTTTGTATTTTTTTTTCTCTTCGACTAAGTGACTAATAAAATTTCGGTCAACCAAGCCTCTTCTCGTCGACTAATGGTTAGTCAACTATTAGGGGGAAGCCCTAGTTTTGTTGCATTTTCAATTAAAACTAATTGGAGGTGAAATATTAGGCTAGTGGAAATTGCATTATAATAATAATACGAAAAAGAAGAAGAAGAAGAGTTACATTTCCCCAGTGATCAGCCAATAATATATGAAAATTATGTAATCCTTCATGTTTTTACATTGTTTCACAAAACTCATGTCAGACCCATGAAATACACTTGTGTGACTGAGTAGAACTTCTTTAAATTACAAATCAGTAAATTCCTTTTTCTGTCATTCAGTTTCATACTGGCACGTTTTAACCTTCTACCTAGTTTCACACAGTACACATCAGTGGCTTATTTTTAAATATTTGAAAGCAATTATCACCTGATGGTCTTCAATTTACAGCATCCGTCCTGTAGTAAATCACTGAGCTCCTTCACTCCTGAATGTCCAGGATCATTTCCTGTGAGATCTAGCTCTATCAGGTGTGAAGGGCTTGATCTCAGAGTTGAAGCCAGGGCTTTATAACCTTCTTCAGTGATACTGTAGTTTGAAAGTCTGTATATACAGTATATACATAAAGTGTTAAGTACTGCATGTTCTATGCTAAATAAACACAACTGGTATGAATAAAGTGAGAATTCAAAACTTAATCATAAAAATACTATGAAAAGCACAAAAAATATCCTACTAATATTTGTTTCAACATTGACAGAATTCTCACCCCATAGATACGCAACAAATTCCTTAATGCTATCATCCGCTTAATTTGATTTTTTTTATTTCATACAATATTTAAAGATAATAATGTAAGTAATCAAACAAAAAGTCTGTCACGACAGTAAATCTAATCTAACTGACATTTACAAATGTATATTATGTAGAAATGTAGATAAATAAAAACACACACTTCAGTGTCTTCAATCTGCACTGAGGATTTTTCAACAGAGGACAGATCTTCTGAATTCCCGAGTTTCCTAGTTTATTCCCACTCAGATCCAGCTCTATCAGGTTTGAAGGATTTGAATTCAATGCTGAAGTCAGAGTAGCAAAACTTTCTGCTGAGATCCTGTTATTATTCAGCCTGTAGAGAAAGACAACTGTTTGTATAAATCTGAAAACCTTCTTTAATGAACAACAACAGTCTTAGTTGCTTCTGCTTGTATTATTGTCATTTGTAAGTTGCTCTGGATAAAAGTGTCCACTAAATTAATAAATGTAAAATGTTAATTTAACCACTTATTTAATTTACAGTATATAAGAAATGTTATATATTAAAGATACTTCAATGCAAATTATAATTATGTAAATTTTGTGAAACACTCACATCAGCTTCTTGAGTTTACAGTGTTTATCCTGCAGTAGAGCAGCGATCTAATTCACTCGTGTGTCTCCTAGTTCACATTCACTCAGATTCAGCTCGCTCAGGAGTAACGGGTTTTTACCCACAATTCCAGTCACATACTGACAGGCTTCATCTGCAGCAGGACCCAAAAACCTACAGAAGAGAAGATGATGCAGGATTCAACTCAGTCCTCAAATAAACCTTGTGTAATGAAAAAAAAACAGCAGTTGGTGCTGATGAAAACCATTTTACATTATTTTTGTTTAGAAATCGCTTTGTCAGCTGTGATACTACAACACATTGTGCAGCTTGTTGTTTTACTGAAATAATATTTCTATAAATTATTCACCTTCATATAACTTATTTTGTATTATTTCATCATGTCTTACCTCAATGTCTTCAGTTGACAGTTTGGATCCTGTAGTAAATCACTGAGCTCCTTCACTCCTGATTGTCCAGGATCATTTCCTGTGAGATCCAGCTCTATCAGTATCACTACCTTCATCAGTGATACTGCAGTCTGAAAGCCTACAGAAAAAAAAGAGTTTTATAATAATCAAAATGTATGCTTAATATAAATAAAACAATTTCAATCATGACAACTCTCAGAACATTTTAGCATGGTGATGGATATGACAATGTTAATGCATCAATCCACGAGAATATTTTCAAAACGTAACCGGTCCGTGGTGTAAAAAATGTTGGAGACGCCTGGTTTAGACAGTTATTTAATGCTTCACTAACTAGCAGAAGACACTAACCAGTTTTAATTTCCAGTTGAGCAGATGGGAAATGTTGTAACAATGTGGCCCGCTATTCTACGACATTATTAATTAATTTACACTAATTACTTTCATGAATTTGAATGACTCTCATTGTCAGGGGTTGTCGAGGAATGAGGACTGCAAACGAAGATTCATACTTCCAAATAGACTTTACTGAGAATACGGGCGTAGAACAACACATAACACAAGATATTAACCGAGAAAGTATAGAACAGAATCAGGAGTATAAATACACACATGGTAAATGAGGGAACTAAACAGGAACAGCTGGAAAAGGATTAACTAATCAGAAACCAAGGTAACTAATGAGAGCTCATAATAGACATGACAGGAACTGAACTAAACTGAACATAACGGTGACACTCATGCTAATCAAGGCTGCATTTATTTGATCAAAATACAGAAAAAAACAGTAATATTGTGAAATATTATTGCAATTTCTAATATTGGTTTCATATTTGAATATACTTTAAAATATAATTTATTCCTGTGAAGCAAAGTTGAATTTTCAGCATCATTACTCCAGTCTTCAGTGTCACATGATCCTTCAGAAATCATTCTAATGCTGATTTGTTATCAGTGTTAAACCTGTTGTGTTGCTTAACATTTTCGCATTTATTCAAAATAGAAATTTTTTCTAACAATATAAGTCTTTATCATCACTTTTTATCCATTTAACACATCCTTGCTGAATAAAAGTTTTTTTTTTCTTTTTTAAAGAAAAAAATTTACTGACCCCAAACTTTTGAATAGTAGTGTATAGGTCTATTGTAACACAAAATTTCTATTTTTAATAAACACTGTTCTTTTTAACTTTTTATTTATCAAAGAATCCTGAAAAAATTTATTGTTTCCACAAAAATATTAAAGGGCACCTATTATGCAAAATCCACTTTTACATGGTGTTTGGACGTAAATGTGTGTTGGCAGTGTGTGAACACAACCACCCCACAATGATAAAAATCCACCCACTCCTCATTTTTTAATCCCCTTTAA